GCCCATTATTATTTTATCTTTCAAACAGGCTTATAACATCTAATTGAATCAATTAGAGTCCACGAAACCGTGTTTAGAACATACAGGGTGCATGTTCTAAAAGCACTGCCTAAAATATTTCAAACTTTGCTAAATTTTGATAATTAAATCTCTTTTCCAAGGTCTCTAATATTTTCGGATGTTTGTTGAAACCATGGATATACCTTATCGCCATATTCAATAAAGTCGTCAAAAAAGTAAGCAATAAATTACAAAGTGTGAGCGCCACTACATATAAACATACATACATACTTCTTCCAATTTTGGTTAAACGATTTAGAATGGTTTGAGTAGTCGAAAAACATAAAATTAGAAGTCGGATTTTTTAACGAAAATATAAACTTTTTTCTTTGGGTGGTCTTGTACTGAAATCAGTTCTACTGAAAAGTTCTCTGAAATGATTATTTGAGTTCACGAACCTCATGAGCATTGGTATTATGCAAGAAGACATTTAATTAATTTCATTTCACAAGAAAAATGATAAATTTAATTATAATTATTGATTATCATTTTATAACAAACTCAGAAACTTTAAATCAGAATTTTTCTTTTTCAAATGATTGATTAATTTAATAATATCAGAAAAAATATAAACACATCCTGAATAATGAATCATTTTGTTTATGAAAACGCAATCATAAGACATTTTGATTTTATTTTTAATATTTAAAATCATAAAATATATTTAAAATTCTTATAATCTAAAAATTGAACCTGAAGTATTAACTTACCCTCGATAAATGATGCGCTATAATTTTGTTTTTGCATACGCTTGCCTGGCTGTAGATAGGAATTATATTGTAAATAGAAATTATCTATATATATATATATATATATATATATATATATATCAAGTTATATTTATAACGAATGTTATTATCATTCATACCACTGCCAGATTCGTACAGCGAATATCATACATATATTCAAAAGAGTTGCTTGATTTCAAAATGAATAAATATTCTGTTATTGTTTTTTTACTCTTGGCATTATTTTGTGTTTCTGCCAAAATATTAGCACCTGCCGATAATAAAGGTATGTAAAAAAGAGTGTATAGCTATTTGAGAAAAAATATTTCTTACCTATCCGATATCTCTATTGCGTGCCATTGAGATTTCTTTTGCTGTCTACTAATTATAATATTTTATACAGAAAATTATTTTTTAGGATTTAAATCACCATTCATGGAGGAACTAATTGACCAAGGCAATGATCATTTTTTAACTCGTTCCGTGCGTGATCCTCCTTGTCCTTGGTGCAGCCATAATCCTCCTACTATTTCTGGATGCATTAGCTGGTGTCAAGGACAAAAATTCGATACTGGAATTTGCGATAACAAAAAATGCAAGTGCCAAGATAACTAGGAAATAGAAGGTTTACATATTACATTAAAATAAAAAAAAATTAATACAAAATGTATATAAATTGAAATAAACTCACATTTAAATTGTTTCTTATTTCTTCTTATTTGTACCTAAAGTGACATCTTGCCTTAAGGCAAAAAATCGCTTTCACTAAAAACTAATCAATGAGGACTCCAACTGAAATATTTCATAATTAAAGAAGTAGAATTAGCAATTCGGATTATCTGGCAAAAGTATAAACTTCTTCTTCATGAAGTTAACGATAATATAAATATACACACTACACACTTTTTATTATTTTCGACAAACTGATTCGGATTCGATTTAAAATTAAAATTAACTTCCCGTTTTCGCAAAAACATCGAAAATGAAAATTTTTATATATCTTTACGTTTCAAAGGTTTTTGAACATTTTGGTATACCTTAGAAAAAATGGACGTTGGTGTGTGTTTTTTTATTGATGTGTGTGTAAGTGTGTGCGGATACAAATTTTCGTCGACGAATTCGGGAACACCGATCAACCGATTTGAATAATTCAAAAAACATTCGATTCTTATTGATAAGGAGACGTGCTGATTAGTTCTTGGCGAAGGCAGGTCTAGCCGTTCCAAAGATACGGGGCAAAAAGTGCCAAAAACGATAACTCAGTTTTTAAGAGAACGGAGCGTCCGATTTGAATAATTTAAAAAACATTTTACTTGTATTAATAAGATGAAGAACTGATCAAATTTTTGGAAATGCAGGTCCAGCGGTTATAGACTCTCAATAAAAATAAGTTTTAAAAAATATCATTTGGCGGTCAAAAATGTTTATTGGACATATGTACATCAAATTATCAGATATTTTATAAAGATTTTAATAATGTGTACACATTTTGTGTAATTTTTTTTTGGGTTCCAGCAATTTGTCTTAAAGCACGATGCCATGCATCCGACCAGTTTATTTATGGCTCATAACAACTTTAGAATTTCTAAAGTTTCTGGTTTGAAAAGTTTTTATTAAATTTCACTTACGCATGCTGGGGACCCCCAATAATCCATCCGCTTCCAACGTCGGCCAGGCTTTTCTTGAATCTGGTGCAAAATGGAGACGCAGTCTTTCACCAAAGGCTAGCATTTTCTTCATTATCACAGTCAGGAATTACACACATATACTCATGCATATGTTAAAAAAGCAACTGTGTACATAGATAATTTTATTTTAATATATTAAATACATAAATGTAGGACCAATTTTATTGTAGACTTAAGTTTATTGGCACAAGCATTCATCACCTCTGCAGTAACCAGATGTTCTTCCTTCTTTTCTACATTTGTCTGAGCATAAATCAATGTGAATATAAGAAAGAATTGGTGTTTGGCAAAGATTTGATCTTGAAAACATAACATCTCGCTTTAAGCGAGAAATGTAATCTAGAATAAAAGAAAATTTTAATGCATTGTTATAAATAGCATATAAAACCATGAATAATCTCTAACCTTTATTCGCGTTCCATTCGGAGGCTGAGCAAACATGAGTTGTATTCAATAAAACTGACAGTGAAACCCATAAGATTAAAATTAAATGTAGTATATTACTTTTTGACATATTTTCAAAATAATATTCGAATGAACTGTTTAATAGCTTCAATAAGAATAATACACTCGTCCTGTATTGTGACCATAGCAAAGTCAATGTTATTAATTGTTTACAAGGCCAAATCTTATCTACGGTATGCAATAAATCATAACTTTGTAAACAAAACACTAATAATTTTCCGAATATCAAATGCACATGCTTAAATAATTGATGAAAGATTTTTATCTTCCCGGAGGAGAAGTTCTCGCTAGAAAATTCGGCGATTTGCTCATTTTTTGCAATGTTTTCAGTCATTCTGAATCGAAACACCAAAATTATAAAAAGCATGGGTGATTCAACGTTTTTAAACGCACCGATTTCTAAAATATCGCAGCCATATGGATAAAACTCGAATTTGCGTTGATTAATTTTGCAAAACGATAGGTCGAGTTATCTTTATAGAATTGGAAGAAAATAGCAAAATTTTTCGCCAATACAGAACTATTTACAATATTCAAAAAAAAAAACGGAAGACATTAGTACCATTTGGAATCGTGCTCATTAGTTTTCGGTAAGGATTGGCCGGGGCGTAATTAATTATTCCTATTAAGATTCTGCGTAATTATTAGGATTTTTTTACCATTTTGATGAAATTTGGCGAATTGATAGAATGTATAACTTTAACGAAATATTATACACCTACAGCAAGTGGTTTAATTATAAAGTTCATTAAAGTTTAGAAAAATGGGCCACGCTTTTAGAAAATATACCGTTTATGTATTAGGCGCGTGTTTGTTTCCATTCAAAGATGTATTAAAGCTATTTAGTATTATTAATAATAATTGTACTAATACTATTTAAACTATTTATCATAAATACTTAATATGTTTAGCAAATTCGCATAAAATTAAATAATTTGCAATGGTTTCTCAAATTACATTGCCCTACAGAAACTTGCCTCAATGCAAAATTCCACCAATTAGTTATTTTATATTGTGCAATTGGAGTATTTTTTTACAATAGTGTAAGAAAATATTGTAATATACAATTATAAAAGGCGTTTGTATTCAGATATAATTCTTATAGTACATATAAGTATGCCAAATAAATATATTTGTGTTCTCAAACCATATTAAAAGTTTAAATAACATAAATCCCCACTCTAAATTAAATATTTCTCAACAGAATTTTAAATTTATATTTTTCTGCAGAATTCTGCTTTTGGTTGTTAGAGTTGTAATACTGAAACAGTTTTCTAAAAGTTTTTATAATGTGTAACAAGTATTATAAGTCCAAACAAATTGCTTTATGTGAAAAAAATTGTGATTATGTGATGTGTATCTATCAAATTATTTGACAGAATAATTTAGAAAGGCAATAACATTCAATGGTGGTTTCAGAGGTATGTACATTTTTAAGTACTAAATATATAGATACATATATATTGATTATTTGAAAAATAAAATTACAAGAACTAGTTGACAAACTCCAGCAACATTTTATTGAATGATTAATTTTTAATCAGAAATAAACTTATACAAAATGAAATTTTTACATAATATAACTCAATTTTCCAATTGAAGGGTTAAGCATTCATTAACACTAAGCATTTTTGTATTCTAAATTCACTTTATTTAACAATAAATAAAACTTAATTGAAGTTAATAATCATGGAATATTTGAGGAAACCACAGCAAATTACACTATTAATACACAAATTGATCTAATCATTGCACGAATGTCTATGGCAGTGTATTATACATTTTTCTAGCGACATTGAAATTGTGCAACATCAAATTATCACATTCCAATTTACAGAAAGTTTCGTGTACTTAAAAATAATTTCTATAAACTGTTTTAGATTGGAAACTTATGCACTAAATTAAAAATATTGTATTGATAATAAGGTGTGATTGCGATTTTAATATAAAACCTCACTTAACCTAGAATTAAGTTTATACATTATACACATCAGACTTGCTTAACAGCAACTATTAAAAATAAATCAAAAATGGCATATCAAAAATGATATCAAAGTAAATTGGCATATCAAAGTACAAGTATAAAATATTTCAACCTAATAAATAAAATGTTACTATAAAACTAAGTTTGTACAAAATAAAAATTGCAGAATATAAAACTTATTTCTCTTGTGATGATAATTGCTCATTCGTCAATAAAGGTGTTTTGGCAACTTCAAAGAATATCTTATGAGAATATTTATTTCGAACAGTGCTTAATGCTTGTTTTGGTTTAACCCTAAGGATATTATTGAGAAGGCACACTGTGGAAAATATTTCTTTTTCTGTATAACCTAGAAAGAGTATTATATTTTATATAAATTTCTAATATCTTAAATTCATTGTGCTTTTACATATTTTTTATATACTGCATTTGAAAAGCATGTAAACTTTATGACAACACGAAAACAATTTCAATCTTTCACTGCAAATGATAATTCAAAGTTACTGTAAAATTTAACATACCTGTATAGAATTCTAATACATTTGTCCATTCAGAAACTTTTTTCATTTTGATTGCCAAAAATAAAGCAGCGGCAGCTAATTTTGAATCACTGATTTTTATTGTATCATAGTCCATTAATGAAAATTCCAGAATAAAACGTGCAAGAGTCAGAGTGGGCATATTAACCTTTGTACACTAGAATAAATATAAACAATCTTTAGCATAAGTAATCTACATTAAATGAAGCCAGAAAATTCAAACTTACCCTAGCAAAACGCCTTAAGAATCTGTAGCTAAGAGGTATTCCTAAATTAAAATCAACCATTTTCAAGATATTCATCTCCATACGTAAGAATTCTCTCTGCAAATAAGCGCCATCACATATATATAAGAAATCCTCAACTAGTGGTGGAATTCTTTCCTAAAATATCAATATTTGATTAAATATTTGTAAACATAAAATTGTACACTAAGTAAATTACATCAAATTTAGCTGCAATGAAGAGTGCTGCAGCACCCAAAAGCTGTAGTTTATCTTTTGTTACTGTAACTTTGCACAAATATAAGTCAACAAGTTTCACTGCCAAATACAAGGTTTCATGATTCAATTCGAAACTTTCTTGAATTTCTACCATCCAATCTACAAGCAACGACCTCATCCATGGAGTGATGAATGTTTGCTTGGACATGTAATCATCCATGACAAAAGATGATTCTCTATCCCTTAAATATTGGAATATATCCATAGCATACTCTGAAACCTAAAAAACAATGTTTTTAATGGCATTGATTAAAAATGTTTATCTTGTAACAGTGAGCAAGAGCAAAATTACCTGAAAAACATCATGCCAATTTTCTTTATCATAATCATGAACACCATCAGGAACAATTCCAGCTCGAAGAATAGAAAGTCTGGATTGTTGTTTCACTGGTTTGGCCTCTTCAGCTTCTTTGAGTGTTGAATACTTAGATTCATTTGATCTAGAAATAAAAGCAATATTTAAAATCTTCAATAGCCATACCTTCAGCTATTAATTGTGTGGACAATTCACCAAATATCTTTAAACATTCAATGAAACTTCATACTTACATTTCTTCAACAGCAGAAACATATAAGCTATCTTCAGTCCTTTCAAATTCATTTGTAATTCGTCTAATATTTAATTTGGCTGCATCAGGCTTAAGATTTTCTTTTGGCTTTACAGCCGTAGTTGAAACGACAGAAGGGTCCTTAATAGACGCCCTAGTCAATATTTTGTTCAACCTTACAGTTGGTTGTAAAGGAATATTCTCTAAATTAGCTACATTTTGTTTAACAGATGTTGCTTTCAATGTAGTAATAATTTTATTCTGCAGCTTCTTAGTGACACCTTTCTTGTTTTCATGAATTTGGACATTATTAACATCATTAGTAATATCCCCGAATGCAGAACGTTTGGCAATTTGCTCCTTCCCCGGACTTGCATCAGCTTTACGCTTTCCTTTACATATTAAATTATTTGCAATTAAATTTTGATTTTGTGACCGAGTTAATATTCCCTTGCGATTAATATTTGCAGCTGGCAACAGAGTTGTAACTTTGGAAGGAGCCATCAAAAAGAATAAATATACCTCAGCTATGTACTGAGATTTGGGAAAGCTCTAATATCTGTAAAATAGAAAAAGAAATATGGAAGCCTGAAAAAATGTTTTATCGAGAAATTGAACAGCACAATTTGTTAGTATTTATCTGCATTGTAAAAAATGTCCACAAGATTTTGAAATTCTTATTCAACAAATAAACTAAAAACTATAGAAAATATAAGAAAAAGTTGTAGCTTATGAGTTGAGTTGAAACTCCATTGATGGGATTGTAAGGGCTTGAGTGAGAACTTACTGTTAATAATTCCTTCAACTTCCTAAACCTCAAAACACTTTTTTTAATATTTTAAAATAATAAACGTAATCATCTCACTTTCAACTAACTAAAAATATAAGTAAGCATACAATTTAAACGTAAATTGTATCTTGTAAAAATATCAATTGATTACAGCTGATACACCCTGAAGGAAAACTAATGTAACCACTAACTTTCCCGCTTAGTTTGGGGTAAGGGTAACGAACTAATATAAAGTGGATATTTTTATGAAGGATAAATAATTCGACCTTAAGAAAACAAGTAAATGCTAATAACACAAGCTGATTCCAGCCACAAAACATGCAATTGTTTAATTCAGTTCTTATTCACGATGACCGTTACAACGGCAACCTATCAGACAATTAATGTCGTTGCATATTAGTCACATTTCTTTTATCAAACGTTTTATAACTAAATTTAGCAGCATGCATTAAAGAAGTATCTTACCTTTAAAACTGCATGAAACTTGAACTATTTAATTTTATTTTCCAAAATGTATGAGCAATCACTGTCGTTTTAGTCGTTTGGTTCAGTTTGGCGTTTTAGATTATGGTGGAAAATGTCTGTTCTTGGTAAAAATGTTGCCAGGTGTTAAAATATTTCGCTCGCTTTTGTTCGGGATTAAAATCGCGCCTACTAACGAAACAGAATATAAATTAAATTTTAACTGTAGTATTTTAAATTTATATAACTTTTTAGAATATAAATTAATATAACTATTCTTGTAATATTTCTTCTTTAGAATGATCGATCGAAAATTGCATTTTTGTTTATATTAGAAAATTATTCTTGGCATGATAATGATGAAAATAAACCAATTCTTGAATCATATTGTATTTCACAACAAAAATAAATTCAATATTTTTTCATTTCAGAAATAGTTTTGAATTAAATTAATATATCAATAAAAATATTGTACTCTAAATCTTCTATTTCATATTTTTAAATTTGAAGATTATTTTCTATTTAATATATAAAAATTGTAGATTTTTCTATTCATTTCAATATCAATATTTAAAAATGGTTAAAATATATTATTTTCAAAAATCATTAAAAAAAAGTCAATATCTATAGTAATTTTAAAATAATTATGGCCTGGCTATTCAACTTTTGAGAATCATGCTGGGCATAAAGTATAAATAAGAAGATACATGTCTGTTATTAATAATTTATTCTATTTGATTTAGAACAAATTACAATATTCATTAATTAGTAATTAAAATTTTAGATCAGTACTCAATTTTTTCTTAGCAAAATTATATATATACATAAAGTCTATCAACTTATTCTCTAATAATAATTTACTGAACTTTATTATGATTACTTAATTTAATTTATCATGAAATGATACATCATTTGACTTATGATAAGCTAATCAATTGATACAAGTATAATTTAAATCTACATCTTATAAGTATAATTGATATATTTCAAATGTGATGGAATTATCATAATAAAGCAAAAACTTATCAAAAGTAAAGTTTTCAAAAATGAAAATATCTTTAATAATACTATGATTTAAATATGATATTCATAGAATTAAATAATATAATTAAAATTTTGAAATCTCACATTTCTATATAAATATATAAACTTACAATCTTAAATCTACAAATTCAAGGAGACAGAAAACTTCACTTATTCACTGCATTGTGAATATTTTCTTATGAAAAGAATTACAAAATCACATACTTTTTAAAAGTACTATATCTTTTTGTTTGCACAATCCATTTTAATGTCACATTTTAATTGGCACCCAATTAAAAATATCTCATAAATATATTTTATCAACTATTATTTTGAGAAGCGGTTTGTATACAAATATATTGTACATGTATTACAGACTGAGGTACATTCACAATAATAAAATGTAATACATACTTCAATACAATGTGTATCATTCTGCAATTTGCATCATCAAGGCTAAAATACTTTATTATCATTTCAATTTTGTTGCATAGCAGTCATAAACTGCACAACATGTGCAGATTGTGGTACAACTGCTACCACAGCTGGGGTATGCAAAGTAGTTGGTATTGCAGGCACCGGTATTGTCTGGTGCATTTTACTATGAGTCTTTAAAGCACTGGATTGTTGGAATGCATGGCCACAAACATTACAAACATAAGGACGTTCACCAGTATGAGTGCGGGTGTGCGAGACTAAATCACTCTTTTGAGCAAAAGCTCTTTCACAATAGGTGCATGCATAAGGCTTCTCTCCTGTGTGTGTCCTACGATGATTTTTCAAAGTACCCAGAGCTGTAAATCTCATAGGACAAAACTCACAAGCATATGGCTTCTCACCAGAATGTATTCTTTTGTGTTTAACCTATATGGAAATTAAATGATACAATCAATCAATAATCTCTTCTAATTAACAATATTAAATGCGACAAATATTATATCAAAATTTACTCCACATGAATAGAACTATATGAAATTTGGTAAAAATTGTACAAAAATAACTATTTTGATGATAGTGACTTGTTCAGTTATTTTATTCACAATAACAATAACTATTTTATTAATAAATCAATCAATTATTAAATTCATTTTTGGAAAATATCTTTAAGACTTACCAATGAACTTGAGGTTGTAAATCCGGTACCACAAACATCACAAACAAATGGATGATCACCGGTGTGTTTGCGCAAATGGGCATCCAATTCTCCCTAAAATTAAATGATATTTAATAACAATCATAAATATATATATATATATATATATATATATATATATATTGTATAATCTTTGATATTACTTACTTTACTAACAAAACTGTAACCACAAGTAGGACACTTAAAAGGTTTCGTTTGATTGTGACGCATGACATGCTGTTTTAAATTTGTGTTCTGACTAAAACCTGCAAATATAGAGATTGAAGACAAAATTGTCATTACATTCAAAACTTACATGTATGTCTGAGCGAATAATATGAGTTTTTCTTACCTTTACCACAAATTGAACACAAAAATGGTTTTTCTCCACTGTGAGTCCTGAGATGATCTTTTAATGTAGATAACATATTAAATCCTTAAAAAAAAAACAATTTCAGTTAGCAGAGATTAATATAAATTACATAAATAGTGATAGTTAGAAAATTATACATTTCATTAAATTAAATTTTTAACATTTAAAAGTATATTATAAAGAGCTTTACTTACCTTTACTACAATGTGGACAAACATGTCGCTTCATTCCTGTATGATTATTCATATGCAAAGCAAGTTGATCTGGTCTTGAAAATGTTCTATGGCACAATTGACATTTATTAGCTTTGGTTTTATCATGGGTCAACAGATGCTACAATTATAATATTTGTTAGTCTTATTTTTACAGATAAGTTAATTAACAAAACCAAATTAAAAAACACACCTGTGATAAATTTTTTCTTCTATTGAAAACTTTATCACATACAGTACAAGGAAACTCTTTCTGCCCTCTTGTATTAGGGTCTATATGTTTGGTCATGTGAGCTGCATATGATTTTTGTTTTGGAAATTCTTTGTCACATACTTTGCATTTAAACTTTTTATCATCCAAATTAATTACACCTGGGGCCTCTTCAATTTTCACTTCAACATTACCAGTCAGATCATGATCACTGTCATTTTCTTGTTCAAATTCTGGAGCAATTTTTACTGTAGCATTTCCATCATGAGCAGATTTTATATGTCGATATATATTTTTTTCTCTAACAAATTTCAATGTACATTCAGAGCATTCGTACTTTTGAGCATTTTTTGTCCTAAATCCCATAAAGTCTTTTCCAGCATCATTGTCAATGCACTTTTTCATATGCTTTTGTAGTAATTCAGATCTTGAGAAAGTTTTACAGCAGTTTTTACATTCGTGAGATGATTCTCCATGTGAAACTGATACATGACGTTTTAAATATCGTTCGCTTGAAAATGTTTTCTCACATAGCTCACAACTCACTGTTTTATCTTTTATTGTCTTGCCTAAGAATAAATAATTAATTTATATATAAATATTTTCATTTGAATCTAATCTATGTTAAAATTAAAATTACAAAAAGTACTATAGTGATAAACAAGATAATACATACTGCTGGCATTCCAATCTTCGTCATCATCATCATCATCATCATCAACATCATCATCAGACTTGTTTGAAAAATCATCAAATTGTTTAACTTCGTCCATAAGTTCAGATTTTACTGCATAGTCTTCAAATTGTTCTACAGAATTAGTTGTTGATTGTGTCTCTTTTTTTATTGAAGACTCTTGAAGAGCATTATTCTTTTGAACTAATTTCCGAAAGGTTGCATCAGATTCTTCACAGCGTTGTTTAAATGTATAAGCGGAACTAATTTGATTAACACATTGCAAACAGATTTTTGATGGCAATCCATCATTCTCATCAACCTGGAAAAATAAAGTAAAGCATAACTCTGTGTGATAAATTTTAATAATGAACTTGGAGCAAAAACAGACATCAAAATCTTTTATCAAACTTATTGCAACCAATTTCCACTATATACAGATAACTAATCATTCAATAAAAGCAAAAAATATGAAATCTGGTAAACATCCCTTATTATTTATAATATGTGTAAACATAATATAATATAATATAATATAATATAATATAATATAATATAATATATATATATATATATATATATATATATATATTTACTTATATATGTTTGCATGTATAGATTTTCACAGATGACCAAATTAACGTCAAAACAAATAAATACCGTAACTAAGTTTATTGTTTATATACCTGAACTGTTGTAAACGACATCAACATTTCTGTTATTCGAGGCACAGATTCTCCAAAAGTGGAGTCGGTCAAAAACACCGATTTCATTTCTTCTGTTTCTACCATACAAGCCCTACACATCTTTTCCATATCAATCTGTTTATAATCATCATCTGAATCCAATTCCATGTTTGTTATTTATTTAAAAAACAAAAATATTAATATGAGTTCACTCAACCAAACGTCAGTTTAAAAAATACACACAAACTTTTTGTTTAAGTTTGATATTCATTATATACACAACATAAACTAGAATCGCGAAACATTCGCCATTTTGTATCAATTGACAATGAATTCGTATGTTGGCGACACTATTATAGTATTTTTGAAACATCGTGCTTTTAATTTGACGTTTTAGAGGTTATGGGCTGATGAATATTTTTGTATAAAGAAATTATTTATATGAAAGATGGAAAATAATACAAGCATAAAAGAAGAAAACAAAAGCATTAATTTGCAAGATGATGGAGTGTTTGATGAATTTATTAAGGTACTTTTATAATTTATTACTGTTTACAAATTGATACTAATACTTGATGCAAAAAGTTAACAGTCTTGATAGTTTATTTCTATTTGTGTAAATTATAGAGTGCTCATCGGAATATAGCAGCAGCTATTAGTATCTCAAACTCTTTTCCCCAAGATCAATCATGGGATTTACACGCAGCTCATCCAGCTTTCGTGAGTGCTATGAGCCAGATGGAGAAATTGACCACCAGTTTAATGGCTCGAGTTTTAAAACAGGAACGTGTAAAAGGAAATCTGCATGAGTATGTGTCTTATAATATGTAATGTATATATTTTGTATTTACTATTTAATTTTTCTTTATTACAGTCAAGATACTGATGAAAAATATGATTTAGTATTAGTAGCTAATGATGCATTATGCGAAAAAATAGGAAGTAATTTAGATGAACTTTCTGGGAAAACAAAGAGCTCTGCTCCAGTTTTAATTGAAAGTAGCATAAGTACTAATGAAGTTATAAAATCTTTCTCTAGCACTGGAACTGGAAGCTGGAACAGAAAAAGCACTTCTACTGTAAGTATAATAATTGTAATGTTCAATGATGATAGAATGTTTATAAATAAATATTTGAATCATATTAAAAACCAGCATTATAAGATAATTGTTATAAAAGGTCAGATTAAAAATATGTATGATCTATGCAAGATATACTGAATGAATAATGTACATTATTAATTTTATGGAGCAATTTTTATGTCTTACTGAAATTTATTTGTGGTTATTTATTTACATATTTATGTATATATAAACTTGTTTATTTTTCTTCTCATTGATACTTTAAAATTATTATATTTAATACAATTAGAATTAATATATAATATTGATATCTCTTAACACTATCATTACATTATTAAAGGAATCCAAGGGAGATAAAATTCGTCTTCTATCTGCCCATAATATTCAAAAGCCGCAGTTAACATTCAAGGATAAGGTTGATAATTCAAATACTAAACTATTTGTACCTAAAATTACAGATAAACCAAATAGCAAAAAACCATTAGCATTGGAAATCAATGAAGAAGGGTGAGTAACAGTAAAATGTGTAGAGAGAATTTTGTTTTAATTTTTTAGTGTAATATACATGCACACAAACCCATATTACTTATTTAACGTTTTAGATAATATTTATTGTACTATATATTATGACATGTAGTCTTGTCATTATCATTACAACACATATTCTACAAACTTAACACAAGCATATATCAATAAACTTGGTAGAAATTATAATTTACTAAACTGAATATTATTATTTTGTTTTAATTGAATATAATAAAATTGAAAAAATAGATAGTTAATTAACAGTTACTTTAGAAATTGTAACAAGATTTTATTTAATTAATATAATAGTTTAATTATATATGTAATAATAATTGAATCATCTATTTCGATCACATTTTATATTTTTTATAATATTTCCATTATTCAATAGGTATACACATCCTTATGATTTTGAATTAGAAAATTTTCAAGCGCCAGAAGATCAACTTACTACTGTGGAACCGATATCTCCACCGCCAATTGAAAAAACTCCTTTGATTTATGTAGACAATGAAAAGTCACTAAATTCTATGTTGAGAGATCTCCTTAATGTGAAATTATTTGCTGTAGATTTAGAACATCATTCATATAGGACTTTCCAAGGCATAACTTGCTTAATGCAGATATCAACAAGAACTTGTGATTACATCGTTGATACATTGATTTTAAGGGATAAGTTAGAAATTTTAAATGAAGCTTTTACAAAACCAGATATTGTTAAGGTAATAATACAGCTACAGCTAATATAATGTAACTCAGTAAAATTATTAATTTTTTTGAATAATTCTAGATATTTCATGGAGGCGATCTGGATATAATATGGTTGCAAAGAGACTTGGGATTGTATGTGGTGAATATGTTTGACACGCATCAAGCTGCAAAGGTGCTTGAATTTCCTAGATTATCTTTAGCATTTTTATTAAATCATTATTGTTCTGTTGATGCCAATAAACACTTTCAGTTGGCAGACTGGAGAATGAGGTGGGTAATAATATCAATCACATTATACACATAAAATAAATATTCAAACATAACTTAAGTATCATCACAGTTAAGTGAACTATTATATGTTTCAGACCTCTCCCAAAGGAGCTCATATTATATGCTCGTCAAGATACACATTATTTGTTATATATTTATGACAATATAAAAAATGAATTAATTAGCAAAGCAAATGGGAAGACTAATATATTGGAAAGTGTTATTTCAAAAAGTACAGAAGTTTGCAAAGCAGTAAGTATTTCACGTTCCAAAATGTTTTACGATTATGATGGAATGGCAATATATTTCTAAAATATTTTAATGTTTTAGGTATACATTAAACCAAAACTTAGTGACAATAGCCATCTAAAATTTTATATTAAATCCAAAAGAATGTTTGACAATAGGCAATTATTTGCACTGAAAGAAATATATAATTGGAGAGATAAAATTGCACGTGAAGAAGATGAAAGTACTGGGTAATCATCTTCTAAATGTGAACTGAAATATTTAGTTTATTGTTTTATAACTTAGTGGTAAATTTTAATTTTTTAATAGGTATGTTTTGCCCAATCATATGTTGCTACAAATATGTGAAGCATTACCTAGAGAAATGCAAGGAATATTAGCTTGCTGCAACCCAATTCCTCCTTTGGTGCGACAAAATTTAATGCTGCTGCATCAAATAATTCTTAAAGCTAGAGAACAACCTTTAATAAAGGTATATTATTGTAATAATATTATTCTAAGACTTTAGTTATCTTATTAACTTAAATATTTTACTGAATATTAATTCAAACAAGAATTATTTTACAATATTTTTGATCCCACGTGATACTTATAGCCAATTCTCAAAGAGGAAATAAGGACAAGAGGCCCAGAACAAAAATCTGGAGCAATAAATTTGGATGGCCCGTTGCATTGTCCGCATGATCTATCTCAGCAAATTGAGTTTCGAGATGATTTGCCAACATTATTAGGAGATCTAAATAACATTAATATGGAAAAATGCTTTGCTCATAATGTTTTAGCTCAGAAAGAAGTTTCTTCAATATCAAAAAGTATAATATCTGAAAAACCCAAACTGTCTATTTTTGGTTCTCCAGAACATTCTGAGGTAATCTCTTTATTCACATGCTTGCAAACATTGATAGAACATTCATTTTAAAATATATATTATTTTTATTTTAGTATGAAGAGAAGAACCACAGTTTGCTGCTTAAATTACAAAAGACCAACTTTGTCAGCCCATATCAGAGATATAAATCTGTTCGACCATTCGTGGAATCAATTGAAAAGGATTCGATAAATAGTGATGAAAGCAAAGGAAATACTGCTAATGCTAATGAACCAGTACTTTCTGAACAGGATAAGGAGAGCATTGCAAGAGTAGGCATACTTATATGTTTAAGGATATATATGAATATATAGATAAAGGATATAATTCAAGGGTCAAATACAAAGCAAGTATTTGTACCAAATGCAAGGGTCTTATTGAATCTTTTGTTTTAGGTTAAACAACATTTTGAAATATTAAGTAAAAACACAGTTCAAGAAGTGGCAGCAACAACATCTCAATCATATTCACCACAACCAGAATTAACTAAAGCTCCTAATAAATTAGATCATACAACACCCTTGCGGATGCGAAGAAAACGGAAAAGAGTTGACTCAGTGGACAATACAGATTACAATCATGATCAAACATCATCAAATGTTGTTAACAATCAGAGTGGTCAAATGTCATCAAATGATATTAGTGAGACTGGTAATATGGGAGATCAATCATTATCAAATGATGTTAACATATCTTACAATGAACAAGAACAAACAGAAAAAGGCTCCAATAGAAAAAGAAAGAGACGTCCAAAGAAGAATCCTCATCAAAATAGTCAACAAATGGATTTCAAGGCATTTGATTATGGTTCAGTTGATTTTCAAAAATACCACGGAGGTTCTCAGCAAACCTCAAAACCTGATGAAGTAAAAACCAAATTTAATGGAAAGGTATTAATAAAATTAATATATATATATATATATATATATATATATATATATTAAATACATACATTATTATTTTTTATTTATTTTAGGGCAAAAATAAATTCAATGGCTACCGTAACAATAAAAGCCTTACGTTTGGTAAAAACAAAGGAAAAAATAATAGGAATTGGAAATCCTAAGTTCACACATATGACTTTATATTATTATAATTATAATTTTTATATTGTTATAAAAAAAATTATATAATGATTGTAAATATGTAAAAATAATGATTTGAAAACATATTTTTTTCAATATTTGTTATATTTTTAAGTGATATAAAATTATATTTGCATTTCCGTGTTTTTATTTAAATTTAGTAAACAATTGTATTCATAATTTAGAAATTAAAGATAAGTGCTCCTGTTCCATCCCCTTTTTAGTTTTAAATTTCATAAAAATTAGTCAGTGAAACAAGAATTATTTATTGTCCTGAATTTTGCTTATAGAACCATATTTTCTTCATTAAAAATTATTAGCTAAATAGTTATTTTAATATATCATTTTGTTATGAATATGAAATCCATTGTAAATATTTTTTAATACAAGTTTTAAAAAGTTTTTGGTACATTTCCTTGCAAAATTAATGAATGAAATAATTAATTCAGCAAAAACTAGGAAAATTGATATCTAAAAGCGCATAATTCGATTTTTAATGCATGCATAAAGAATATAAATATATGTATTAGTTTAGATCATTCTATAAAACTAAAATAAATAATCCAGTTAATTTTTATAATCACATTACAACCCACATAAATCACATTAAGTACAATTAATAATTAGTTTCTATTTATTTAAATAAATTTATGTATAAAATTAATATCTTTAGAATTTACAGAATATCAATTAATTTAAATAATTTTATTTTATATTTATTTATATATATTTAATATTGTAATAAATATAGCATTTTCTAGAACTTTGTTGAATCAAGAATTATGATTTGAATTTCGCGCGTTCATTTTTCTCTAGTAAATTCTAGAATCCTGTTCCATTTTTGTGATTTCTCCCCAATTTGTTAATATATTTTATTGTATATCGGCAATACACTAAATATTTATAAAGAAAATAGAACGAAATACTATTTAATGTTATCGTTAAATTAATATAAGATTAAAAAACTTATTTAAAAATAATCTGTATTCTAGAAATATCGAAAAATATACACCATAACGAGGTGTGCTAGTGATCGAAGCAAGCGCCCATGCGTACTTCGATTGAAATTCTAATCAGACTGTAGAACAAAATCTGATATCGTGTTTTGTGCAAGCCGGGTAGAAATTTAATTTGTGTGTAATTATTTCGAATAATTTTTAAGGTAAGTTATAATTTTAATAAGTATATTTAGAAGCGACTTTGCACGATAGAAAATAAATTTCTTTGTTCAAGTTTTATCTGATTAATTGATCATCCGAAGTCCAAGTTCAGTCGATCACAATTCTAATAGGATAGTGTTTTAATAGATTTAATACAAGTTTAAAGGTTAATCTTAAGTTTCTAACGTTTTTCTATGAGATATTACATGAATTTGCTGACGTTTTTGCCTTTTTTCATTAATTTGTGAAATTAACCTTACTTATTGCGTCATACTACATGTGTTCGGGGGCTGAATTAATAATTTTCCTACTGCATGTGAAATGTTATAGTTTATTTACTTTCACCTAATTTATCAAATCTTAAGTAAATCTAATCTAACTAATTAGATTTACTCAAATTGGAAATATTTATTACCACGCCGACATGAAACATGAATTCATTAATTTATTATTACCTTTATAGATGCATCGTCTTCCAAGTGTATTACGTAGCACTGCTTTCCGCCAGCTATCAGCACGATCATACGCAAAGGATGTTCGTTTTGGCCCAGAGGTTCGTGCCTTGATGTTGCAAGGTGTAGACATTTTAGCTGATGCTGTTGCTGTTACAATGGGGCCTAAGGTAGTAGTTAAAGATACACATTACATCATGTTAAATTGATAGTTTTTTACAAAACCTGTTTCTCTTACTAGGGCCGCAATGTCATTTTGGAACAAAGCTGGGGTTCACCAAAGATCACTAAGGATGGAGTCACTGTAGCGAAGGGTATTGATCTCAAGGACAAATTTCAGAATATTGGGGCCAAATTAGTCCAAGATGTAGCTAATAACACCAATGAAGAAGCTGGTGATGGTAAGCTTGAAATATTATGATTTGTTTTCAAATTATTCATTTCTTCAAGTAAATGAATATTCTTTTAGGTACTACTACTGCTACTGTGCTTGCCAGAGCTATTGCAAAGGAAGGCTTTGAAAAAATATCTAAAGGAGCAAATCCCATTGAAATCAGACGAGGTATATATAAAATAATATATTAGATATATAGAAAATATACTTTTTCTATAGATTTTTTTTTTAACACTTTAAAGAAATAATTTTATGTGATTTTATTTTGTGTGAAACTTAAAGAATTTATTTTTATAGGTGTTATGCTGGCTGTTGATGCAGTCAAAGAATCTTTGAAAGGAATGTCGAAGCCTGTTACTACCCCGGAGGAAATTGCACAAGTATGAAATATAATTTGATCAATATTTATTAGTTTTCGCTTACTTAAATAAATATTATATGGGATTTAGTAAAAGCTACAATTTAACATATAATTGATAAAGTTTTGATGAAAATTGATTCAGTTTTTTTGAAAAAAAAACTATGTTCTAAATTAGTAATGTCTGAACTTCTGTATTCAAAATAACTTGTTATGAAATTAAAATTGTCTATTTTGATTTATCTAGGTTGCTACCATTTCTGCCAATGGAGACAAAGCTATTGGAAAATTGATCTCAGATGCAATGAAGCGTGTTGGAAAGGAAGGTGTAATAACGGTTAAAGATGGAAAAACTTTACATGATGAACTTGAGGTCATTGAGGGCATGAAGTTTGATAGAGGATACATTTCACCTTACTTTATGAATTCCAGCAAAGGTGCTAAAGTAGAATTCCAAGATGCCTTAGTTTTGTTCAGTGAACAAAAAATTAGCTCAGTTCAAAGCATTATTCCTGCTTTGGAACTTGCAAATACACAAAGAAAACCTTTAGTTATCATTGCTGAAGACATTGATGGTGAAGCATTGAGCACTTTAGTTGTAAACAGACTGAAAATTGGACTTCAGGTTAGAAGTTAATAGTTTTAACTCAATCAACATCTAAAAATTTTTATTACATAGAAAAATAACTTGATTATTAATTTATTGTTTTATAAATGGCATTTAATATGCAATTTTTTTAATTATTTTATAGGTTTGTGCAGTAAAAGCACCTGGATTTGGAGACAATCGTAAGAACACATTGGTAGATATGGCTGTTTCTACTGGTGGTATTGTATTTGGTGATGACAGCAATTTAGTCAAACTTGAAGATGTGCAGCTTTCTGATCTTGGCCAAGTTGGGGAAGTAGTAATTACTAAAGATGATACTTTACTACTTAAAGGTATAGCTTGTAACGAATAAAATTCAATATTTATTGATTTAAAAAACTAATAAATTTGTCATTTATTAGGCAAAGGAAAGAAGGAAGCTATTGACAATAGATGCCAAAGATTGCGTGATGAAATAGCACACTGCTCCGGTGAATATGAAAAAGAAAAATTACAAGAACGATTGGCTAGAATTTCAGCTGGAGTAGCTGTTCTTAAAGTTGGAGGATCAAGTGAAGTAGAAGTCAATGAGAAGAAAGACAGAGTTAATGATGCCCTAAATGCCACCAGAGCCGCTGTTGAGGAAGGAATTGTACCTGGAGGTGGCACTGCTCTTTTGCGTTGCATTCCAAGCTTATCTGAACTGAAAGCAGGAAATGAAGACCAATCAACAGGTTAATATTAGTACTGACTTAATAATTATATTTATGACTAAGTTTGTAATAAAAAATATTTTTTACTTAAAATGTTTATAGGCATTGACATTGTTAAGAGAGCATTGCGCATGCCTTGCATGACCATTGCTAAGAATGCCGGTATGGATGGTTCTGTTGTTGTTGCTAAAGTAGAAGAAAATACTGGAGAATTTGGCTATGATGCTTTACACAATGAATATGTGAACATGATCGAAAGGGGAATTATTGATCCCACTAAAGTAAGTAATTTATTCAAAGTGTATTATGACAAACATAACACTCAAAGCCTTTTTCATAAAATAAAACTACTGATGAATTTTATTACTGAGTAATTATTTAAGTAATTTAATTGTAAATGAATTGATTCTTCAATATTTCATTTAATTTTCTATTATCAATTTACATATTTTCTACATGTACCATTAATTTTCAGGTTGTTCGAACTGCTTTAACTGATGCTTCTGGTGTAGCATCATTGTTAACAACTGCAGAAGCTGTGGTCACAGAAGTTCCAAAAGAAGAACCTGCAAACCCAATGGCCGGAATGGGCGGCATGGGTGGTATGGGAGGAATGGGAGGCATGGGTGGAATGGGAGGCATGATGTAAATTGATTTTCATCTGCAGCTCCAATTTTATATCTAAGTTGTCATAGAAGCTTGTAAGTTTTATTATCCAATTTTCCTCGAAATCATTTGTATATAAGATTTTAACTTTCCTTTTTAGAATTAACTTGATATAGATATAAGATTAAGAGGAGAATTGAATAACAAAATTTCTAGTATAGTGGTCATGTCATGTTTAGTTAAATTCATAAATTATCAAATACAAAAAACATTGCCAGTCAAAATGTCCAAATAGTGAAATATGAAGCTTTGTTTTAAAAGGTTGATATTTACTAAATTATGTATAATACATTGTCAAATTCTATATATAAAATGAAGTTTTAATATTTCATTCTAGTTATTATGTTTTAACGTAAGCATTTGAGTTTTATGAAGGTTACTGCCATTTATGTAAGAGTTATCACCTTTTTGACTGTTTAAACCATGCTTATGTTAAATGATTTTAGTTGTTTAGTAAATATAGATGATATCACAAATTTTGTTAAAATAAATTGTTACGTTTTGGTAAACAATTGTTTTATTAATATTAAATTTACTGGCCTTACAAAATAATATTCAAGTTCAGTTTCAGGAAATAATTAAATGAGTTTCAAGTAACTATATAATTATTTATTAAATAACATAAATAACTTCATATTATGTTGTCTCATTAATTCAATTTTAAATATTTAAAATTTTATTGTTGATCTTGAAATAACAAGATTTTTTTTTATCTTGTTAAGAACCATCACCACCATATGAAGGATTGTCTCCTTTTGATGGAACATTTAGCTTACATCCTTTTCTCAAATCGATTTTAAAACTTACTAAAACATTTAGTAAAGCACTTCTAGTAATAAACTTCTCAACACAAGTTTTTCAAATGCTGACCTGTCTAGCTGATTCTTTAAAGAATTTCTATAATAATTTTCTGATAAATGGAAAAGTTTAATATTTTCATATAAGATTTAAAAGACAATAATGGGGTAATGCTGATTGGTTTTTGGTAAATATGATGAATATATTATATTATCATATTGTCTAGGAATATACTAATCATATAAATATTTGATAAATTCAATTATGCTACATTCGAATGGTGCACTAGTAATCTAATATGAAAATCGTATATTGGTAATTATTAACTGATTAAGACTAGTAATTTCGTGCACCATTTTACCAGAAAATTAATTCTACTTAAAAATATCAAAGCTTATTTGTAATAAATCAGCTGGAATTATTTTTTATTAAAAGTCCAGTCGGTGAAGATTTCTGGATACCAAATAAATTAAGCAATTTAAATGTAAATGTAAAAGTAAAGCATTTAATTTAAAAACGAATTACTCCTGGTTTATATTTCTAATAGGCAATGTTCAATAAATACATATAAAAGAAAAATCGACCATTTATGTAACCAAGCCTCCAACCTTTTCTTTTATCAATGCCAACTCATTTATCATGATCATAGCCATCATTATTATATTGTCTATGATCATAGATTCCTTTAAGAATCCTATTTGCCTTATAATGTTGGCAATACATGTTATGGCACGATTATCAAAATTCCGATAAGTTATGGTAATACTAAATTTTGACGTTTACACCCAATAATAATAAAGTTGACATGTTTTATATTGTCTTTTCTTTAAAGGCCAATATATATACTTCAATAGTAATGTTTTGATAACTACCTGTTCTAGAATTTCTAAAAATAGTTTTAATTTTCATGTTGTAAATTTTCTTATAAAACCTAACCATAAAATTATACCAATCAAAATTTCTTTTTACGTTTATTTATCAATGATATTTAACAACAATGTCGCGAAAAGCAAACAGTGCTACTTTAAGATTAAAGCAAGATTATTTAAGACTTAAAAAGGATCCAGTGCCTTACGTCACTGCGGAACCTGTTCCTAACAACATTCTTGAATGGTAAGCTTTTATAATGTATTAATGTGTGACATTGATATATTTTGTAATATATTTTATATTTTGATTACTGTTTGCTTGCAGGCATTATGTAGTTGAAGGCCCGGAAGGTAGTCCTTATCATGGAGGATTATATCATGGTAAATTAGTTTTTCCGAGAGAATTTCCATTCAAACCGCCTTCCATCTATATGATCACACCAAATGGTAGATTTAAATGCAACACTCGGCTTTGTTTGAGTATTTCTGGTATGTTTTCAACATATTATCATAAATTTCAGTATTCATTTATTTTTGAGCAATTTTTGTTATATATTATAATATAATGTGACAAATGGTCTGATAAATTAAGTACAAGTATATTATACTTTAAGAGAAGAAATTTTAGAAGGCTTTTTTATGAGGCTGTAATAATTTGCTTTCTGATATTCTATTCACCGCTTTTTATTCATTCTATTAAAAGATTTATTAATTGCTAATGCATTTTGCATACCAATGTTGATTTATTAATCGGTATACCGATTCCATTCACATATATTTATAAATATATGTGAATGGAATAAAAGGTTCAATCATATAATTATTGTTGTTTATAATGTAGTGCTCGTTTTTTATTTCTTACTTCTTTTCTGTTTTAACATTTAAATATTTTATTTTATTGCTTGGTGTTTTTTTTTGAAAAATATAGTTTAATATTGTGTGTTGTATTTTTTCCTGGTGTGGTATGTATTCATTTTTTACTTGTATATTTTCTTTTAATTCTTATAATATATTTTAAAAATATTTTTTTTCTAACTTTGTAAATAACTTTTATAGATATTATAAAAATATGCTGAATGATGACACACATACAGTGTCGAAACATACAAAATAGGTAGTTCATTTATTTTACTTTGACTATGGGGCTGCAAATTAACATTTCAAGAATATGTCTCAACATCGAACAAAAAAATCTAATGTTTATGTATATATATATATATATATATATATATATATATATATATAGTTTTTATAACTCATATCTAACATGTGCTAGTCATATGATGGTGTTTATTGTATTAAATATTTATATTTGAATTAGATTTTCATCCTGATACTTGGAATCCAGCCTGGTCTGTTTCGACGATTCTCACCGGATTATTAAGCTTTATGGTAAATATGATATATAAAATTGAAAAATAACTTATTCATTGATTGATTTTATTAGCTTGAAACGAGTCCAACATTGGGATCCTATGAAACATCTACCTTTGAAAAGAAACAACTTGCTGCACAAAGTATTGAATTTAATCTTAAGGTATATACAACACATAGTCTAGGCACCTTTTATATTGTATTGTTTTATGAGTAGGATTTTGCAGGATACATTATACTGTGAGCTTTTTCCTGAGATTGTTGCTTCATCTAAAGAGAAAATAAAGAAAAGAAATGAAGCTAGAAATTCTCTTCCTGCTTGCAATCTTGTCAGAGAGCAAATAAACCAAGAACAGTCAAATCTTCAAGCTACAATTACAAATGTTTGTGTGTTAGTTGGAGTGGCTGCCTTTGCTTATATTGTGAGATATGTTATAAGGAATTTAGCAAGTGATTTTCATGAATGAGAATAGCTTTTATAAAAACTGATATCATTTTGTAGCTGAGCTATGGGAATCGTTTATATTTTGTAAATATATTTTTATACATTTTATGATACATATATTAAACACGATGACATGCAAATTATAAATATATTTATTGTCATGTCATTACTTCATCTAAATTAATTCAAATTTATAAAAAGATTTATGTGATTGAGATTGTAAATTTCATAGTGACAAGGATATATAATATGCATTTCGATTGGAATATTTATAAAATTAATTTTAAATTGTATTATACTGAATGACATTCCTGGTTGAATAAAAATTTTACCAAAATTGAATGAGTTTATTAACTGAGTCCTTATAACACATATTTTTTGTTATAACAAATAAGATTTATTGTTTGAATAAAATGCAACATAGATGGTTATAAAAATATACATTAACGTATTTTAAAGTAATTTTATGTTTATAACAAATTTATTTTATGTTCGTATAGATACATGCATAAGTATATATGAAGATTATTAGGATAACATTATAATGTTATCACAATATATTGTGTTGATATATGAGTTGTAACAGAATTAGTTTCTAAAAATAAACTTTTATTTTTTTTTTATTCGAAGAAAAAAAAAGATAAAAACATTTTGATAAAAAATAATGTACGGTTTTAAATCTGAGAAATTTTACGTCAACTATATAGTTTGTGTAAATGACAATTATCCACCTCGTCTTCTAACAGACATTTGAAATTGCACGTTCAGGCAACTGACCATTTTCGAGCCATCAAAACCAGGAATGACCACAGTCCAATAAGAAGTTTCGTCCAGGGATGGCATGTAATTAATGACGTCGTCCTTTACAGGAAGATCCGTTATTGTGTAAACAGTTTTTTCAAGCGGGCATTTCAAAATAGGTGTAACTTGTTGCAGAAATTCGGAAGCGCCATCGAATAATTCGCAAAAATCGGCACTCATATTGAAGTATTTATAACACATGTTATAATTCAGAGAATCTTTACAATTGTTTAATTCTACGTAGCCTGTCCACTTGGAGATGCGTTCACTTACATTGAATTTTCCATTTACGACGAATTCGCCACGTTTTACCTGTTTCACCTGTTCAGAAATAATTACATTTGATTAGAGACAAAGATGTTTGAATATCAATCTTTAAAATTATTAATAATTTAAATTCAGAAAAAAGGGATTGATGACGACATTCTTAAATTATAATTATTTAAGGTGACCATACGTCCTGGATTGGCCGGGATAGTCCGGATTTTCCGTCTTGCGTCCCGGCTTTTTCTAAAAGCAATCTTTGTCCCGGGTGTTTTGTCCCGGATTGTTCTGAGATTTTTAAAAATGTTTTTGATTGCCTATATTTTTTTGAATATATTCCAACTAGAAAATTTGAACCGAAAAATATAAATTTTTAGCTCAGGCACACTTCACCCCCCGCTCTCACACACATTATAATCCGTCCCAGATTTCATGCGAAAAATTATGGTCACCTTATAAATAATACCTTATTTAGATTTTTTTCAGTATTTTTTTATTGACCTCCGTTTAACAATTAGCGTTAATTAAGTTAATTAATTTAACTTAGCCTCGCCAGCTTGGTATCAGGAAGCATGATATTCAATTTTTACTACAGGTTATAGATAAAACATAATCTCAAGTGAAATTCTCTGTTCATGGACATAGTTTCATATAAAAATATAATATGAAAAATATTAAGATTGATATTTTCCATATTATATTTTGATATAGATTTTTTTATAAGAAACTATGGCTATGAACAGCGAATTTTACTTGAGATTATATTTTATCTATCTGTAGTAAAAATTGAATATCATGCTGTCTGACACCGAGCTGGTCGAGATTAGTAACGAAACCGGGATAATTGTTTCGAATTGTAGGAATTGAGTCTTTGAATTGAAATCAATTTTCGTGGCTATTGAAAAATTTAATTGAATTAGTTGAATTGTATATATTGCTTTAGCAAATAATTGCTTATAGCGCTGATAAGCATATAAAAGTTTTTTTTTAATAATTCGTTAAGCTATTTTTTACTCCAGAAAGAAGGTTTTATTGAAGTATTAATTTATATTATTTATTCAAAATATTTAGCATTCGAAATGTGAATGCACAACATACAATTGTAATAGAAATGTTTTCATATATAATTTATTTCAACAATCAGAAATAGATATTGTGTCTGTCAATAACTTCATATAGACTGGATAGTAACTATTATGCAATACTTAAATAAATGTAAACAAAAAGTAATATCTTTTGCGCACCCGTACAATCAATATTTAAAACTCAATGATAACAGTTAGTAGTTAGTATTCGGGTACAACAGATCAAATGTTTTGTGCAAAAATTAACCCTTTCAACTCGGATGCCGCCGCTCAAGCGGCAAAATTCATATAAATCTCGGAATTCGCGATTAGAAAGTGTTAAATTTAGTGGTGCTACGAGTGTCAGGTACAACTTAAAAAACTTTATATATATATATATATATATATATACATATATATCACATGTTGGTTAAATTAATTGGTTGATACCTGTAATTCAGGAACAAATATCGCCAAATTTTCTTTGCCGTCACATTGCTTGACTCTTTGCAAAATTATTCTTTTATTGCCAGCATCGCTGAAGGATAAAATGATTCCTATTATTAATATTAATAAAGCAGTAGTTGGAAAATTATACATTTTTTATTTTCACAAAAAATATGAAATTAAAATTGTGTTCAGCTTTATATAGATCGCTTAGATGAGTGTTAGACAATTAGATGAATCTAACCATTTTAGCTGTATCAGTTTTGTTCTGTTTTATCAGATTTATTCTGTAATAATGTTACATTAAATGCAATTTAATTCGAATTTATTGATTCAAATCTCGCTTGCATTTACAATGCAATTTAATATTAATATACACTTTTATTAATAAAAATGACGCCGTTTTTTTTTTTAAATAACTGTTATTAGTTATATAAATTATAAAATTATATGTATATATGAATGAAAAAATCATACAAAATTATTGCAAAAAATAATATCTATATTAATCATCGATCTATCAAAGATGATGAATATAGGTATACATGTACGCGTACATGTATATATAATGCATATTATCTAATCAATTAAAAAAAATATGAACAAAATTTACTAACGATATAATACAATGTTTCATTATAAATATTTATGATAAAAGTTCATAATAATGCATTATAGATTTTTACTTCACAAATTAACTATACGGTATTGTCGGTCATTAACACATGCATACGGATTTAAAAAAAGAAATTATTATGTAAAATATTTTGTAAAATATTAAATTATAAAAGTTGTATTTGAAAATTTAGAAACGGTTGATGATTTATACCTAAAATTCAAAATTCTTCACGCATATAAATTACAAATTTTGGTATTTATGTTCAAAGTTGACCGCCCGATCGAAAATGAAATTTGAACCAAAATGTAGGCTTTGAATTTCGTACTAGAAATATTCAAATACATATTCAATATAATTAACCAGGAACGTATTGGGATAGAAGTCCTACACGAAATATGCTACAAATTCATAATATACATAAATTTTATATTTCTTTATGATAATTTATGAATTTACAATAAAATATACAAATATTATCAAAATATTTTTAATATTTTGTTTATACCTTGCCGTAGCTCTGTGGTAAGAGCTTGGTCTTGCAAACGCAGATTCTAGATTCCATTTTTAATATCAAGCAGTATATTGATAACACTTTTGGGATTATAGATCAAAAATGATATAAAGTATCAAGTAAAAATACCAGCATATCAGTATTATAATATTTTGTTTGTCAGAATAAAATTTTTGAAATTGTTTTCAATAGTTTGTTCACACCTTGCCGTAGCTCTGTGGTAAGAGCTTGGCCTTGCAAACACAGATTCCAGATTCAATTGGGAGTTGTGTATCAAGGAGTAGTGATATCAATTTTTACTTGGGATTATGGATCAAAAATAGTATGATACGATATCAAATGAAAATAGATATAGATATAGGGAATAGTCAACCTAGGTTTAAAGAATCATAATACAACATACCCTGGATCATATACAGTTCCTTTCAGTTCAAGCTATAAAATTGCAGTTTAATCAAATAAAACAGACAATTATTAAGTTATATAAGGATTTGTTTTTTTTATATTATTAATACTAAAAAAACTGAATAATAAAATTATTAAATCATTTCAAGTGAGTCATATATAATTATAAATTTTAAAGTTTTATATTTAAACAAAACTGTAAGTGACTTGATTTAATTAAAAGTAATTTTTTACCTTGAAATGTTACTACGTCGTCTACTCAGTCCTGTGTTACTGAGAATTCAAAAATACTTCATCCAAACTGTCAGGTTGTGAAATATGAATATGTTCTCGGGGTGTGTTAAGGGGGGCGATACATGTAATCGCCTTAATTTTTACCATTTTTTGAGGACTTTTTAAACTGGGAAGGAATAACTGAATCTTTTTGAATTTTTTTATGGTTATTTATTATATATTAAAATACACAAAAACATTTTTTTTTTAATTTTTTTTTTTTAAATGGCTGCCGTAAAAATAGATCTGCCGAGACCCTCTCGGAAAACGCCATCAATCTGCGGGCGTTCTCACTTTTCGTACGGTGATCTGAATTCAAAAAAATTAGTTTGTACGTATTCATAAAACATATATCTTCTAGTTAAACCAAAAAAAAATTAAAAAAGTCACAAAATCGTAAATTGGCAGACCTCAGAAAAAAAAAGTTCGATTTTTCACCATTTTTTCACTGTTTTTTTTGGTAAAAAGGTTAATTTTTGAAATTTTTTTTGGAATGTTTGAGGTTTAACTAGAAGCTATTACTGTAAAGTAGATGTGTGCAAAATTTCATTGGAATCGGTTGAGAACTTTTTGAGTTATCACGCCCGCAGTATTCAAAAATGTCGTTTTGAGAAAAACGCGTTTAAAGTTTTGACACATAGAACAGATAAGAGTGTAGGCGTGGCACTTAAATGAGTTTTTAATGTATAAATAATGATAATTTTGTTTTGAATTTTTGCAGGCATATTTTTGAGATGTTATTGTAACGATTTATGAAAAAAAAAAAAATCGTTTTTTTTTTTCTTGTTACATGTATCGCCCCCCTTAATGATCAGCCAAAGACAAGATGAATA